GTACAGAACCCGAGACCCTGTGTTACAGGGATACGTATTCAGAATCCTGCTCTATTCCTCCATCAAGGGGGGATTCTTATTCAGAATCCTGCTCTATTCCTCCATCAAGGGGGGTATTGGGCTCTGTGTGGGTGGATGGGATGATACTTCGGCTTCGGACAGGCAGGGATTTAGGTTTTTTGGGTTTGGGCTCTTAAGGTCTCAGGTGTTTAGGGTTGCTGGGGCCTGATAGGGTCTCGGGTTCTTAGGGCTGTTAGGGGACTTAAGGGTTTAAGGGTACAACTGGGTGCAACCGGCCAGGCACACTGCGACAGAGGCCCGCACGTCGACGCCATCCTGCTTGTCACTTATCTCACCTCATGGCAGGCGTGGGCATCGAAGCTACCTGGGGGTCTACGATACTAGGGGTGCCTTATTGGGGTCCTTATTTTCAGGGGATCCCTGATTTTCGGAAACCCCCGCCTGTCCAAAAACACCTTCAACCCCAAACCCTAAGCCCGAAGCCCAACCCTAAGCCCCTAAAAATCAAACTGAAAATTCTGAGTGCTCCAAAGCTTGACATGCTGCCTTCAAAAAGAAGCCTAAGCCCGATCTCCCAGGCTCCACTGAACAAACTCTAGGCCCACAAAGACATCATGTTTTGTGACTCAAAGCCCCAAACCCTAAACACCCTGCTTACCCCAGCCCCCTAAATAAACCCCTCTCTCTCTTTCACAAGCCCGGGGAAAAGGTCAACAGCGGTCGTCCGTAGGGTCTCGGCTGTTGAAGCGGCGCTCACGCAGCTCCTGCTCGGTTCGGCCCCCAGCAGCACCTCCACGTTGTACTTGAAACCCTTGAAGCTTACGAGCTCCTTAATCAGGATTAATTTGTAGGGTACTAATCCCTATTAGTGGCTGCTAGTATACGGGGGGGAACATCCCAACCTTGAAGCCAGACACCCAAGGCCGACCCCAACAACAAGTCTTCCTGCAAAGCCCTCGCTTATACGACACCTCTGAGACATTCTGAGACCCTAGAGCCCTAAGGCCCTACAACCCTTGGACTCCCCCCTCCATGTTCATGCTAGATGCCACATCCGACGCAGAAACCCAAAGCAAAACCTCTTTGTTTCGGAGCAAAAGAAAAAGAGAACACTGACCCCTGACCCCCCTGAATCCAAAACCTCAAAATCCACAACCTCTACTTCAAAATCGTTTCCTAACCCTGCGAACCTTTCCTTCAAGTACGGAACTAGGGACCTGGGTGCCCTATGTCCCCCTGTATCGCGGACCCTAACCTCCCTGACGTGAGACAACTGCTGCGGTGCCTCTTACCCGCCGCACTTCCTGCAAAGCAGTTAAGGTATATAGAGTGTCGGGCTGAGGGCTCAGGGCTTAGGTCTTACATGTTCGGGTCTGTTCGGGATCTTAGGAGCAGAATCGCAGTGTTCGGGCTCACGGCTTTGAGGTTTTGTCTTTTCTTACAGATTGGGGATCCCAGTGTAGATGGAACCCCCAACCTCTTTGCAAAGTCGGTCCTCGGGCACGGGGTTCCGGCCAACCATAGACATGGCATGGCGTGCTTCCCATCCACCGCTCAAGACATGGCTTAGGGCTATGGGCTTCGGGTCAGTGTCTGGTTGCCTACGTGAGGAGAGCACGCTTGCCCTGACTCAAAACCAAAGGCATGAACCTGAAAGCCATGTTTGTGCCTCGTTGCTGGGCCTCTGACCCCTGAGCCCGCTGGAGTCGCCTTGAAAATCGTGAGCCACTGCTACCTTCCACTCCCAGTGCGTCTTTGAGGCATCAAATTCGGAGACCGTTGCCGGGCACTTGGACGCCAGAATTCGGACAATGCGAGAAAGTAGCAAATTCTGGGGCCAGGAAAAATTCCGAAAACCGCGGTGTTGCTGTTACTGCACAGGGTAGCCAAGCCAGCATATTGTTACACACAACCGCTTGCACGTAGCAGCTGCCGCACCGTGGAGGAAGTCGTTCTCTTGGCCCCGCTCCCATACCACTGCAGCCATACAGAGGATGGGAGGCGAGTATTTCCTTCAGAAGGAGGCAGGAGGCAGAGTCCACCGCCCGGCACGCGGCGCCACAACTTCAAGCTCATGGTGCGGTGCACCGGCGATCTCTGCGGCACCTTGGCGGAGGTGCCGGGCGGCCATCACGTCCAAACGACACAGAGGAGCGGGCGCCAGATGGGACAGTGTATCGCTTGCAAATTACCAAGTGGGCGTCCCTGTTGATTCCGGGGCACGACTGCATGCAAGCGGAGTGGTTGCGTCTCTATGTCAGACACATCGTGTCGAGCCTGTTGGGATGACCTGAGTTGCAAGGATGCCTCTTCGGCGGACGCGCTGGAACGGCGGGGCTGGTCTTCGAGCAGGGCAGGACTTCGCCAGACAAGCCCACCCGACGATCTTGCCGGAGCGTTCGCTTCAGGACAAGCACCTTGGCCCAGCGCCAGACGGATGTTAAAACGGATGATGTCCTCGGCCGGGCGCAGCGCACGAATCGGCCTGGGTCAGGCCCTGCTTGTTTTGGTCAGGTCCTGTGCCTGTCGATCACTCTGCAAAGTGACCTGAAACGCAAGGATGCCGCCCTCACGTTGCTGGGTGAAGGCGCTTGCACAGGAGCACCATGGTCAGGAAGGGCAGATTGCTGGAAGAAGCGAAGCACGGCAGAGGACCAGGACCCCAGCAGGGCAGGAAACAAAAAACAGTGGGCAGGGAAAGGATGCGAGAACTCAGTGAGCAAGTTCTGAGAAGGGTACAGAAGGGTCCTAATCAGGGAACCTGAATTGAGGTACCTGTTTCTCCACTTGCACCCTGATGTCTCAGTCCAGCGAGGCTTAAGGCAGAACTCTGCACGTAAAGAACCTGAAGCCGAATTCGAAACACCAAGCCTCAGACCCTGCACCTAAGCCCTAAACGTCCCTGAACCCGAAACCTCTCCCCCCAAACTCGAAACCTCAAGCCCTAGAGTCTTTTTGAGTGCAAGGATTGCCTCAGGATGTAGAGGTTTAGGGTTCGGGGCCCTAGTTTAGCTTCAGTTGAAAGCTTAGGCTTGTCTCAAACGTGTCACTTGGCTTGGCTTTCAATGCTTACCACGCGTTGCCGACACTGCGTTCAAACGAAGGAAGAAGGGACGGAGAGCGCGCTGGCGAAGTCATCAGGATTGAGTAGGTTTAGAGTCCCGGGCTTAGAAGCTAGTTCAGAGTCCCGGGCTTAGTGCTGGAAGCTGGTGTTCAAGCCCAGGCCTAGTACGCGTCGAAAGGAGACCTATAGCCCGACATTAACCCCCGGAGCCCTAAACCCCCAGAGCACCTCAAGCGCCAGAGCCCTCAAGCCCCCAAGCACGTAAGCCCTACTTGAGGTCGAGGCAGACTTGAAATCCTCAAAGGGGGGAAGGGTTCCTTGCACATCCAAGGATTCGGGGGGTAAATCGTCCGCAAGAGCCTCCGTTTAAGTGAAGGAACAGACCTTCAAGGGGTTAAGGTTCAGCGTTGAAGGGGTTCAGGTTTCAGGGCTTACGGTCCGCAGACCCTTTCGGTGTGTTGGATGGGTGTGGGAGGTGAAACACGGGGGCAGGGGGGAGTTCCCCGGCAGCTTTACCGTGGACCATGGGTGCTGGGTGAGCATCCTAGGGCGGAAAGTCTTGAATTTGGGGTTGTTTTGGGGTCTAGACGAGACTGTCCTGGGGCCCCCCACCCTGCCCCTGACACGACCCACTTTACACTAACAGTCCTTAATAGGGTTTATAGTACCCAATATTAAAATAATCGAATAAGGACTGTTAGTATACATCCCAAGAGTTACATAGTCCATTAGTTTGGGCACTTAGAAAGGTGCCCCTTAGATACCCCTTATATACCCTGTACATATTAAGGGCCCTTACATCAGAGTTAGGGACGATGCTAAGGGGACATGAAACTACCCTAAGTCTGCCCCAAGCCCCCAAAACGATGGACCCTATGACGATCATATGACTGCTGTAGAACCCCTGTTTGAGGGTGTTGGGCCGGGAAACCCAAAACTCCCATCATTATTGTTATTACTATTGTGACTGCTACTACTATTCTTAATACTTTTATTATTGGCAAGTCCAACCCATGCGCCCGATCGTCCTCTGAGGCCCTCGCTCACGTATTCTGATGTGCTTGATCTGCTGCATGACGGTCTGCCAGGAGCTGGGAAATGCTTCGGGCTAAGGACGCGGGGAGCTGGATGCACAGTATGTGGGGCTTGATTTATGCCAGGGGCCCGGCATCCCGTTTATGAGGAGTTCGCTTTCTTTAAACAGAAAAAGTGCGCCACAATGGGTCCTTATCTTTGCGAGTTGCTCCTAATAAGGACCAGGACCTGACACGGCTTCAGCTTCTCACTCTTTGGATCCTGCGCCTCACGCCACTCCGGTGCCGAAAGTGGCCGAAAGACCACGGATGCCGATACCTGGACCCCTGGAAACGTTACAGTAAGGGGTCCAGGTTCAAGAGCCCAGGTGCCCTCTTCAAAACTAAGAGGGCTCTTTCTGCGCCCAACCCAAGTGGAGGGGCGCGCGGCACAGCGGATCACGGAACCCCGGCCCCGGTCGGTGCTCGGGGCTCCTCCCTTCCGAAAGGGTGTGTCGCACGTGGCCCGAGCATGCAGCGGCCTCCCAAACAGGAGTCCGCAAAGAACGGACCCTCTGATGCCTCCAAACGACTGAGAGTCGGGCTAAGTCTGAGTCACATGAGAAGCACTTCACCTGATTTCACCTTCAGTCTTCGGGATCAGGGGATCACGCGCACCTGGCCCCGCAAACAGGGGCCTGGTATCGTGGGCATCGGAGCCCCAGGGCCTCAAAGAGCTCCAAACGTAATGAAGCGGCCCTTGGGCTCCCTGAAGCCACAGAAGCACTGCACTTGAACTGCAACAGTAGGCCCGATGTGAACCTCCACTAAATAGACCCCCCTTGGGGGCCCCATACCATCCAAGCATGTTTCAGCATGTTTCGTTTGGTGCGCCAGGAGGCTCACCAGGCCTGGCGGGGGGCAGGCTGCTCCACGTCAGGGGCGGGGAGCACATTCAGTTTCCTCGGCTCGTGTGGAAGTGTGGCGACTTCCTTGAGGCGTCGCTGGAAGTCCGCGTCCCCTTGCTGAGACGACACGAAGTTCTGCACGGCAAGCGGCAGCTTGTCCCAGGCTCCGGGGATGTACAAGAAGACGCGGCCGGAGAAGACCATCAGGAAGCTCCATACCAGCAAGGCTCCCAAGACGCCCACCTCGATCTTGTAGGTGGTGATTTGCAGAAGGATGCAAATTGTGGACGGGATGGCCTGCATGTAGTCCGTCCAGTCGATGTCCTTCACACCTTCGATCATGAAGACACCCACCATGACCAGCGCAGGCCCCGTGGAGAGGGTGGGGACAGAGGACAGCAGCGGCGTCATGAAGATGCAGATAAAGTTCAGGAAGGCGATCACGAGCGCGGTGAGGCCCGTGCGGCCACCCTCATAAACACCGGCCATGGACTCGCCATAAGTTGTCACAGAGCTGGTGCCCAGGAAGCCGCCGACGAAGGTTCCGACGGCATCTGCCATGAAGGCGGCGTAGCAGCCAGGAAAGCTCTCGGGCTTCTTGGGGTCAACCAGGCCGCTCAGGTCTGCGGCCGCATACAGAAAGCCCATTGTTCCGATGAAGTCAATGTAGAGGAGGGTCAACAAGGGGTTCCAGAAGCCTTGCCAGTCCCCGAAGCCAGAGAAGTCCCAAGCCAAGATGGTTCCGCCGGAGACGTCGCCGCTCTCGCAGTTGCCATCTGCGTCACAGCCCGCCCATCCGGAGAATGGAGCAACCAAGGGCCCTGCCACATCGATCAAGGGAAGCGAGGCAAACGCGCTTGGCGCGCTGAAGGTCTTCGGAATGCGGCCGGCGCCACCAATGCAGCCCTCTCCGAACTGATCGAGCACGAGCTTGGCACTTGCCCGACTTTGGTAGGACATGGAGGTCCAGCAGCCTGTCTCCACCAAGACCGTGTCGAAACAAATGGGATTGAAGCCGCCCAGCATGGCATGGCACGCATCTGGGCAGCCGCCCTTGAAGGTTGAATCGCGGCCGGCTGCGACGCCCTGGAAGTAGAGGCTGCCGGTGTGGTTCGTGGAGGAAGCGCCATCCGTGATGGTATAGACGCCGTTGGCCACGGACACCGAGGCTGAGGACACGAAGCTAACGGAGGAGCCGGTCTCCGTGCTCTCCATCTGGCCATAGCCAGGCACCGTGTAGGGATTCTCACATGTCGGCTTGGGGTAGAAGCCACCCCCCGGCTTCGGGTACCACCCCGCAGCTCCATTCTCAGGCTCCACGTAGGACACGCTGCCGAGGCAGCACATGGGCTTGTAGCCGAACTGCTCCACCTCTGCAGCCTGCAAGATCCAGGAGAGGACTGCGCTGAGGAGGATGCAGACCATGACGGCGCCGCGCACGCGCAGGAGGATCAGCAGGCTCATGAGGCAAAAGAACCCAATCCCGACCCAAGTTCGCAGGTAGTGCTCGCCCGTAAGAGTGACGAGATCCACCAACACTGCCGGATGGTCCCGGACGATGTCGATGCCGTTGCCAGCCTGCAGGCCGATGAAGGCCAGGAACAAGCCGATCCCTGCCATGGTGGCCTTCATCATCCAGGTCGGGAAGACCTTCTTAGTAGCCCAGTAACCATATTATAATAAGGGCGCCCATTTTTTGGTTGGTTCCTTTGTAAGGGGACCAGAACCCCAAAAAAAGGGAAAAAGGGTACCACGGGGCTGCCAAGCCTTGAAGACATAGCGCCGGATATCGAGGGCAGACATGATGATGAAAATCACGCCCTCCACGGTCACCGCCATCATCACCTTCTTCACGGCATTCTGCTGCCCCTTGAACCCCACGATCGTGTAGGCGAAGTAGGCGTTCATGCCCATGCCCGGCCAGAGCCCGAAGGGCAAGTTGGCCCAGAGCGCCATGATCAGCGTGGCGACGCAGCTGGAGGCCGCCGTGGCGAAGACGAGGCCATCGAAGTTGAGGCCCGTGGTGCTCAGGATGTTGGGGTTCACGGCCATGATGTAGGCCGCCGTGAGGAAGGTGGTGACCCCGGCGCGAATCTCCGTCGTGAGGTTCGAGCCCCGCTCGGAGACCCGGAAGTAGCCGTCCACCCTGGAGCCCCGGAACTTCCTGTCCAGCGCATTGTCCACCAGGTCCTTCTTCCCCTTGGCACCCACCTTGAACTCAACCTCCGCCATGGCGTCGGGGAGATGACAGGGCTTTTTGGGCGCTCCGGTTGCAATGTCAAGTGTGGCTCGGGCCGCAGGGCGTTTGTTTCAGGGCACTTCTGAATGGGCAGCAGGCAGAGCAAGATCTCGTGTCGGGCACAGCAAGATCTCTTCTAGGGCACCATGCCGCAAGAGAGGATGAACACCCTAAACACAGAAGAGCTGTAAGAGTCAGGATTGAAAGGCTCAGGGCTCAGGGCTCAGGGCTCGCGAGCAGTCGCCCTCGTGGTCAAATGATTGTGGTCTGGGGAGATGGACAGTCTGCTTGGCTGAGTGCTTGAAGGTTTCGTAAACCCTAAACCCTAAACCCTAAACCCTAAACCCTAAACCCTAAACCCCGAAACCCTAAGCTGGCCTCGAGGTCGGCATGATCGATGTTCTCCTTTATCTTGGAGTCCGCATACAAGGCCTGCGGACGCCAACTCGCGCCAAACTCACGGGGGCGTTGGGGCTTCTAGGGGCTTCAGGAACCCAAACTTGGGACGTTCCGAAAAGGAATTGTAGCACCCCCCCCCCCCATTATAATCCCTGTTGAGGACTGTTGGTATAAAGGGAAACATGCCAACCCCAAACCATCCTATCTAACCACCATAAAAACCTTGTAAGCCCTCTTAGGCCCTTTAGAGGCCCAATCTGCCCGTCCATCGTTTGTTCGAACTGACAGCCGTGGGTCAAGTTGCTCCCAGAGCCTTTCCACGCAAAGCCGCACTCGCCACATGTCTCACACGCACTGATGGCACAGCTGAAGCTGATGCCGTTCGGCACAACTTTGGCTGTTGGCATACCTGCAAACAATAGCAATGCCATCTGCCACTGTCCACCTTTCTGACATGCGCTGATGCTCGCATTGAAGCTAATCCCGTTCGGCTCTATTTCAGCACTCATCATCAACGAAAACAATCGCAGCGCCATCTGCCACGCACCGCCTTTCTGACATGCACTGATGCCGGCGCTGTAGTTAATTACATCTGGCACAATGAAGGCTTTCTGCATCCTCGAAAACAACGCTACCGCCATCTGCCACTCCCCATGTTTCTCGCAAGCACTGATGCAACCACTGCAACTGATCTGGTTTGGCACAACGCTCTCTGTCGGCATTTGAGATAGCAAGAGCAACGCCATACTCCACTCACCACCTTTCTCGCAGGCGCTGATGCTCGCATTGAAAGTCACCTCATTTGGCACCACTCTGGCTGCCGGCATCTGCAACAACAAGTGCAACGCTGTCTCCCAGGCACTTGCTTTCTCACACGCGCTGATGCCGGCACTGTAGCTGATCTCGTTCGGCAAAGCACCGGCTGCCGGCATTCGCCATAGCAAACGCAACGCCATTTGCCACTCGCTGCCTTTCTCACAAGCACTGATGCCGGCACTGTAGCTGATCTCGTTTGGCACGACACTGCCAGCTGGCATTTGAGACAACAAAAAGAGCGCCATCTGCCACTTTCCGCCCTTCTCACATGCGCTGATGCTCGAATTGAAACTGATCTCATCTGGTACAACTCGGGCTAGCGGCATCCACGAAAACAGGAGCAATGCCGTCTGCCAGGCACTGCCCTTCTCGCACGCGCTGATGCTGGCATTGTAGCTGACCTCACTCGGCACAACACCCACTGCCCACATCTGTGAGAACAGGAGCAAGGCGATTTGCCACTCGCCTCCTTTCGCACATGCGCTGATGCCAGCATTGCAGCTCACTACGTTTGGAAGCGTTTGGACCGACCCCATCTGCAGCAAAAGCACTACTGCCATCTGCCACTTCGACCCCTTCTCGCAGGCTGTAATGGCGGCACTGAAGCTGTAGACGTCGGGACAAGCCCCGGACGCAACAATGCTGGCCAGTACTTGGAGTGCGGCCTGCCACTCTTTGGCTCTTCCGCAGGCCACAATCGCTTGGCACAGGGTCTTCTGCCTCCCACCTCCAAGGCCTTGCCGCGCCGCGTGAATTGCAAGCTGCCAATCTCGGCTTCTGCTGCCCGATGTAGCTTTCTGCACCGACGCCGGCATGGTCGCTCGGTTGCGCAGCTGGGGGCATTGCTGTCATGGAGTATTTCTATCTTTTTGGGGGGACTTGCACAAGGGGCTTCGGGTTCCGACAGCGGCTGTCGACTTTGAGCATGAACGGAAGATCCTGCGAAAACGGCCGTTGAACATTTCAAATTCACAGCAACCACTAGTCCGTTACGAATGCGCATATTAAGGTGAATGCGAAAAAGCGACTCGCGGACTCCCCTTTTTTCACATTGGCGGGAAGCAGATCCAGATCAGCTGAAACCGAGAGCACCGGAGGTGCAGAAGAAAGAAGAGTACGCCAACGTTTTCAGGCGGATGCTTGACCCGACAGGGTAACGGAGGCCAGCATCTTTCAAGCACACGCCAGGAATCTGGACATGTCGAGCTCGAGTGGGTATGTATACGCACGCAGTGTGGCAGGAAAAGCAGTCCCGGGGACAAAGCAGAGCTGATCGGAGGAAAACCCGATCAAGGTCGGGTCATAAGCGCGACTGAGCGCATCAGCGAGGTCGTTCTTGAAGCCTGGTACGTGGTCAATGTGCACGGATATGAACTGGCGCTCCTGCAACAAGAAGAAAGATCGGAGAAGAGAACAGAGGCCTTTCGCCAGTGAAAGTCCTTTCCAAGAGGCCGCATCCGACGCAGAGTTGTCGCAATTCGGATTGACCACACCGAGTTTCCCCACAGCCGTATGTTTGTGTGAACTGCGGAGCTCCGCATCTTTGCCAGGAACTTCGCGGATCCAACCCTGTTGAAGTTCCTCGGCGAAAAGTTCATCCATTTTGTCTGAATGATCCAAGGCAGACTTAGGTGACGCCCGAACATCTGGAGATTCCCGATAGAAATGCCCCACTGCGCGTCTAGAAGAGGCTAACGCACAGGAGGCCGCCGCCAGCCCTCAGGCTGCACCTAGTGCTCGGACTGCGGAGGACCAGCTGGCTTATCCTCCCCAGGGTCATGACCGGCCGATCGGAGGAGCAACCCCAAAACCAGATACTCCGCGGCGAAGCGGCGATCTGTCGGTCGGGGAGACGCACAAACTCCCGCCACCGGGTGTCCGCCCCCCTCCTGGCCCCAAAGCTCGACCCTTGCGAACAGCTTCTTCCTAGCGGGGCGGGGCCAGAGATGCATCGAGATCACCCTGTGCCAAGCCTGCCAGTGAGCGGACAGGGCCAACTTATGACCTCCCTACGCCCCCCCCCGGCCTGACCCAGCTGGCCGCGTCTACCGGCCTCCCCTGGCCGCAAAGAAAGTCGGCCCCTTGTCCATGACAATACCGGCTCCCAGGAGCCGCCCAGGTCCAAGCCAAGGGGGCCTGGCGAGCCAAGCAGCGCCCGTGATCGAAGGACTCCGAGCAATGAGTCTCCTTCCCATGGAAGTGAAAATTCTGTTTGTGGGCTCATGTGGCGTGCGCTCGAGGCGGGGCACCATTTTGGGAGGAGCGTGAAGCCCAGGCCCTACATGTGCTTGCGTGATTCGACTCATCTGACGACGCATGGGCAACAACTTCGAGCGTATAGGACCTATGAAGAGTTGCTGCTGCGCCTGCCACACCAGCTCCAGGAACCGGACACCTTATTGGGCATTGCAGACACCCTCCTCAGACCTTCCCGGCAGCCTACCTGAAAATCTATGACCCCATCATCACGCAGTGCTTGCGACTCTCAGGGGCGCTACAGCACATTGATTTGGCGGACATACTATCATGCCAAATACCACAGCTGGATAAAACCAGGCTGTCGGATTCTTTGGTCGGGTACGGGTTTCTGACTACTGCTCAGTACATCGCTGATCTCTTCTTTGCTGTCGCAGATGTGCCAGGGGTCAGCAACGCCAGTTTTCCGGCCATGTTGTGTTACTCCGACCCAGACTACTGGTTGGGGGCGCTTTTGCCAGCCTTTGAGTCTCACCAGAAGGGTCCCTTGGGACGAGCAGCCGGGCTGCCTGTAGTCTTGGGCTTCCCTGAGACGGACAATCGCATTACAGACCTACAGGTCAATGTGCCTCCTGCAGCCATGGTGGCCTTTCTCGCTGGTCGTGCGTATCAGCTGCCCACGTGCCCTGCAACCAAATATGCGGTGGACCCCCAAGGACTCCCCCAAGTCCACGGACAGGTATCGCAGGAGGCCTTGAAGGCCTGGGCGGAGGCTGCCAAGCACACGAATCTGGAAACCGCCAGGTTGGCACAGTAACCTGGCTTTAATGCGTTTGTCCGGATTTCGCTTCAAGGCTCGCAAACACTGGGGCACCGCCAGTATCAAGAATTTAGGCCAAGTGTACCACCAGTTCACTTCCTTGATGCCATTCGGCAGGCCCTTGCTGCCTCCGTTGCAAACCAGGACATTGAACACTTCTGGTCCGTCTACAATTTGGAGCGTGCTGCCTTTGGAGAGCCTCCTTGCGCCGCCTACAATCTTGGAGCCCTCTGCGGCTACGACACAGGCCCCCTCGGAGGTGTGTTGCATCTCTTCTGACACTGAGGAGGCTTCGCCTGCACCTACTGCAGAGACACCTGAGGCGGCAGACGAGTTCGAAGCTCAGGTGCATGATTGGCGTTTTTCGGAGCTGCGTACCACTGACCTTGCGGCCTTGTGAGAAGTGGATGTTTCTACCCCTTTGAGGATGAGCATTGGCAAGGACTTAGTACAACGCCGAACAGACATGGGCCCCAACGCGCCCGGCCTGCTTGGTATGATGCTGCCACCGCCCATTGGGCAGCCCTTAAGGGGCTTACACGATCCAAACACCCAACTAAGCAACGCCTCAACAGCTTCTGGTATAAAATGTACTGCCACGGCAACCCCAAGGAGCCTGAGCCCTTGGCCCTTGCAACTGCCCTCTCCACCTTTCCCTTCCAGTCCCGGGAAGAAGGTGCTGTGCAGTATTGGCAAGTTCAGGAGGCCATTCGGACGATGTGGCATTCAGCCAAAGCCACCATGGCACGGCATGTAGGAGTTCCCATCCCGACTGGCATCCCAGCGTGGGGGGTCGATGAGGAGGAGTTGACGCAAGCCTGTCTGTTGCCCCGCAATACCGCCGCCGCTGACCCGCCAACTGCTGTTGAGGGAGTCAGCATGAAGGCCAAAAAATCAGGTAAGCGTGCTGAAACGCCTTCTACACGGTATCGTCCGCGACACCCTGATTGGGAGGGTCCATGGCAATGAAGTGCTGCGGGCCGGCGTAAGGGTTTGACTGCTGTCTGGTAGTCTCTCCCCTCTGAATCGGTAGCTGTTGCTACTCGCAGGTTTCCTCCCTGGGAAACTAGGAGGACTCTGCTGACTGCAGCCCCAGGTTCTACTTGGATATGTGGCCGGGCTGAACACAGTTGTGCGCCTGGATGTTGGGAACTCTGAGTTCGTCTTCCAATTAGCGAACCGCATTCTGTGTTGGCTGTTGCTCGGGGTTGCTCCACTGGCTGACCACCATGGGGTGCCCTGGGCTGGTCTTGCATCCGCTGTTCTTACTGTCAAGTCCCCACTGGCTGACCACCATGGGGCACGCGCTGGCCTTTCCTTTGCTGCAGGCTAGAGTGAGGGTTTGACTGCTGTCTGGTAGTCTTTCCCCTCGGAATCGGTAGCTGCTGCTACTCGCAGGCTTCCTCCCTGGGAAGCTTGGAGGGCCCTGCTGACTGCGGCCCCAGTTTCTACTTGGGAATGTGGTCAGACTGGGCACAGTTGTGCGCCTGGCTGTTGGGAACTTTTGCCGGGCTTCAATAATAGAACCGCAAGTGGTGTCGGCTGTTGCTCGGGGCTGCTCCACTGGCTGACCACCAGGGGGTGCCCTGGGCTGGTCTTGCATCCGTTGTTCTTGCTAACAAGTCCCCACTGGCTGACCACCATGGGGCGCGTGCTGGCCTTGCCTCTCCTCTGGGAAAGTTGGCCAATTTGTACCTTCCCTTTTCGCTACTGTGTGCCTGGTACCTGACCGTGTCGGTCGGTAACTCTGCTGTCCTTCTTCGATTTACAGCTTTCCGTGCTGACCGTCGTTGCACCAGTGGCTTCATGATGGTGATTTTGATGATCTGGCAAACCCTCGCATTTTGCGACCCTCCCGCATGCTCTGCTCGATTACACCTGGACTTCTGCGACGACCTCGAGTACTGAGCGCGGGGGACACATAGACGTTTGGCGCTTTGGTTTTGGCGGGTTGCTGCGGGTTTTGGTGGTTGTGTTTGGTTCTTGTACCTGCTCTGTTTCACCTCTAGTGTTGAGACCCACAAGAACGGCCTACTGCGCTGCTGATGTAGTAAAGAGGCGTCGGTCCAAAAAAAAAAGATGGGCACTAGCAGTTGGTCTCCAGGTAGCGTGGCGGGAGCCAGCACGAAGATGTAGAAATCGGTGAGTGCGGGATTCCGACTTAGGAAGAATCTCGGAGCCCAGTGCAGCAGAAACGGCTGAGACTGGCCGGAAGGAGGCACAGTGGTTGCAGCGAGAGTCACCGAGGCCCGAAGGTATGCGTGGACAGGTCCTCTGTTTGTTTTGTGCTCTTTGGGAAAGGCCACGAGCCGACCCTTCTTGGCCTGTCTCGGCGTGCCACACACTCTACCGCCCAGCTCTTAGCGTGCCAACACCAGGCTCGCCAAGATCCGTACAGCTATGCTGTGCAGGGACATCAGCTTTCGGCACTGCCGCCATACTTGTACTGGCACTTCCTGCGGGCACAGGGCTGTTTTCCGGAGAGTCCACTTCGATGGCCGATTCAGAATTGAGTTGGCCAGCCCGCACAGAGAGGAGGCGAAGGCCTTGTGGAGCTTGCTGTATGCCCGCTTTGCTCAAAGGACGGATCCACTCGAGGGGCAGGCTTCTTCCTGGGCGGCGTCAGGATTTTGGTCTCCCCCAGCAGGTGGGTCAGATACTTAGCAACGCCGTCACACTCACGCGCGGATTGAAAAGGGACGCAGTAAACCGCATTGGGCAGTGGTTCCAGAGCAAATCCACGCGCCCAACTGTGCTGCCAACTGCGTTCTGCAGACCCTGCGCAGCAAGCTTGCAGACCCCTGCAGCAAGCCTACAGCTGCAAGGTCTGTAGGCTGTCGGCAAGCGCAGACCCTGCAGCGTTCAGGACCGACACACGAGTGTGTCTTCTCATCAGAAATCGCACAGTTTTGGCCTTTATTTTGAGGCCAGAAATTGGGTCCCAAAACTGGGTCTGCCTGATTCGAAACTCTCGAGAAGATCCCATTTCGGGTCCGCTTTAAGGCTCAAAAATAGACCCAGAATGGGCCGTGAAATGGCAAGTGTGCTTTCAATTTGCGGAGACACGCAAGCATGCACCACATGTTTGGGTCAGACGCAAAGATAGTTGGCGGTCGCTTGAAACTGTTGGCAACAGCGTCATAACGGAACAGGTATTGCACATGACAAGCTGAATTGCAACAGTGGCAACCTGAATGGCGCCTCTATGAATAAGTACAGGCCCACCGACCGCTTGCCACGCAGCGGTGCATTTTATTGTCTTGTCGGGAGCGGTCCTCACGTCGGACAAAATTTCGGCAAGCTTCAAAAGTGTGTCTTCTCATCGAAATCGCACAGTTTTTGGCCTTCATTTTGAGGCTGTAGGGTCTGTTGGGGCGGCGTGCGGCAGGGTTTGCAGGTTGCCCGCAGGCTGCTGGCCTGCAGGCTGCTGCAGGGTCTGCAGACTTGCCGACAGCCAACAGACCCTGCAGCTGTGGGCTTGCTGCGAGGTCAGGGTCTATCAGGCTGCTGCAGGGCCTGCAGGCTTTGCTGCAGATTCCGCATGTGCAGGTCTGCAGGGTCTGCAGGTTGCTGCAGTGTTACATGC